AGTACTGCTAATCAGCAATCAGACCCCTGAGAACTACCAAACAAGGCTCAATTGTCTTTTCCGCTATTTCCTTGAGGTGATGAAGGGCTGGTAGCTTAACTTTTCCTCAATGACAAGATCTTACGTTTACATTGAATCTCCCATAACCTTGCTTCCAAAAACCATTCTCATCCATGCTGAAGTAGGCTGCAGTTTCGACCTCGTCTGACTCACATCAACACCTCCGGTGGGACTCGAACCCGGGTTGTAATTGCGCACTGTATAATCTCGACATAGTTACATCTACGATCACTACCACGATGTCACATGGCAGATTTACATCTCAAGGAAAACCAGGCATTTTACTAAAATTCCCATATCACAATCTGTAGTGGAATTGGCAATGAAGCAAAAGTGTATTTGCTATAGTACTCGACTAGATTACTTATTTTTCGTTTATAAGTAGGTTATTCTGACTACCATTAGATCAAATATATATGAGACGTATTCAGCCTATTTTGTTAAAGTTACGAAGGAAACTTAATCACATACGTCACTTAATTAAGGTTGTATCCACAACAATATTATCTTAGGATATTTATCGAAACCAATTTACTCTTCGTATGATTAGACCGTATCCTAAGACCACGAAGCTTTTAGCTTTACTGGAATTCCGAAGAAATGTCTTTCGATTCTGATGAAAGTATGTTATGCTCTATAAATTATCAAAGCTGGGAACACTTTTCACATTTTGCATTTGTAAGTTGATATTCTGGTAGGGTGACCACACCTCATAATTTTCACAACGAATTCAACATAATAACGGAGGTAACCTACACACTTCTCCCTATGCATTATTGCAGTCAAACTGTACTAGTAAAGCCAAACAACTGAGAAGAATTCTCCTTCGTCTTTTAATCGTCTTCAACAAGTATAGATCAAGAGATTCCTTGAAATGCAACTCTTATTCGCTTGTGACATGACTTTCCATTTGGATGGAAAAGTTGGCTGGAAGCAATTCGTGATGTGGTCTCAGCGGAGACCGAAAGAGAATTGAGCGAAATGAAGACTGCTATGTTTTGCGAAGAAGTCCTTGGCTCGCTATCCTGCCACCCAGATGAACCTGTGCTAAGCCTGCGCCTGTACCGTCGTGACAGACAATATCAGAACAAGAATCCATACTATACGAAATAATGCAAGAATACATAAAAAAACCAAGAGGAAACTATTAATCGAACTTATTTCATAAAATACGCATTCTTTCTCTAACAATGTCTGTCACGACGGTACAGACGAAAGCTTGGCACAGGCTCAACGCTATATTCTTTTATCTTATGATTTCTGCCATGAACACATTCAGTCACAAATCCCAGGCCTTTTAGAATGAAATAAAAGTTACATCCTCATGCCCATGAACAGGTTTGGCAATCGAGACAGCTTTGAGGCCTACAACCGATAGGGAATCATTAGCGGTCTCGACTCGTAATTGGGTTCGGAGCCAAAGTTTCACCATAAAGTGAGACCAAGACTTTTTGGTACACTCACAGTTCGAGACCAATGCCGAGGTTAGCCAAGAAGGAGTAGTCCGCAGGTTGCGTCCCCGAGGCGGACGCGACACAGGCACTCGGTGTGAACTAGAAACCTGCTAGCGAAGATGAGAAAAGAGCTGAAGAAGAGGTGAGTATTGACGGAATTTGAATAGGATTGATGGATAAGGTACAAGAAGAAGGGCAAGAAAAGAGGGGCTGAAGAGCGAAGACTAGACTGTAGAGGCAAACCGTCTGCAGACCTAACAACACGACTGGATGTACTGAGGCCTCGCTGCTGTCCTGCCCCCTTTCATTGAAAAAGCGTGAGAACCAAGCGGAGACCAAAAAATGGCTGACATAAAAATACTATCCCAGGGCACACGGTATCCAGGTTGAAGCATTCGTTACTCTCCACAGGCGCCCAGGACGCAGTCTAAGCATGTATCCCTTCGTGTGTGCATTTGTATGTGTATATTTGAGCGTGCGTGTATGTAGATGTATGTAACGGACTCAGGCCGAACTCTATATTGCAACGGTCGCTACGTTTATGTCAACGTGTGAGTCTGTTACACTGTCTTCCTACCCG